ATATATATATATATATATATATATCCTTTTCTGGTTAAGGGACAGGGCTTGCAGTCTGGCCCTACATGGAATCACAGTCCCTGGTGGGGCTTGAGCCAGGGTTTTCATCTACGCTGATGACATATCTGCTTTTGTGTCATTTTACAATGACATTGATACAAAAATTGAAGGCATTTGAATGGTATGAAAAGATAACAGGAACCAAGATTAACTGTGATAAGTTTTCTCTGGTTAGGTGCCTGGAGGTGGTCAATCTTCCAAGGCCCTTTGGTTGGACGGACGGTCCTGTCCGCATTCTTGAAGTGTGGCTTGGACCCAACCTCAAGCTGGAGAAAAATTGGTCATAAGTACAGGCAAAGGTCAGTGTGGTGGTCAAGACTTGGCACCAACAGAGGTTGTCTGTGAAGGGAAGGGCAGAGGCATGTGCCACTTATGTCTTTCCTCTTGTCCTTTACCACTTGTCTGTACATCCTTCTCTGTAAGAAATGTAAGGCGATAGAGTGCTTGCTCTCCTCCCACTTGTGGGAGGGACACAAGCATCACATCAACACAGAAGTCTGTGCCCAACATCTGTCTCATGGTTTTGAGCAGTGGATTACCTCAGCAACTCTGAGTTTTCACTTATCTGGTGATTGGTTCATACAGGGCTTGACAGATTTGGCAGAATGTGAACGATGTGACCTTGATTTAGGGGAAACTGCTTCTACCATTGTCCTCAGATACCCCCCCACCAACCCCAGACTATGTTGGCGAGTTGATGGCTTGTATTGCTCCTGAAAAACTTGTGCTCATTGATTGCACATACGCGCATGACAATGTGTCGTCCCTGTATTCTGTGGTGAAACGCATAGTATTTCTATCACTGCTGGCCACAATAGCGATTTGGACGATGCAACAGGAGGAAGTCTTGCAAGGTGTCTTTCTCATCAGGATCTATCAGGTCATCCCATAAGTTCTGTCCGAATTTTGAATAAAGAAAACAAGTGACCAAATGTTACATTTAATTACAGATTCAATCAACAATGTATTTTCCCTGATTATCTATGACTTCCTTCCACCTATTAACAAGCTTACTAATTCCATTACTGTAAAATTCTTTTGGCTTTGATTCGAAGAACTCACAAATGTCAGTTTTAACCTCTTCCTGTATTACAAAAACTGTTTCTTCCAAATGATTCTGTAAGCTACAAAACAAATGGTAGTCTGAAAAGCAAGATCGGGAGAATAAGGTGGATGAGGAATTTTCTCCCAACCAAGTTCTTCAATCTTTTGTGATGTGATTCTTGCTGTGTGGGGTCGTGCATTGTCCTGATGAAACAACACCTCTTTTCGATTCACTAGAGCAGGTCTTTTTTCCTCAAAGCTTGGTTCAAATGCTCTAATTGCTGACAGTATATTTGAGCATTAATAGTTGCATTAGGTGGTAAGAATTCAAAGGGGATTATTCCTTGGTGATCCTACCAGATTGAAAGAAGAACCTTTTGCCCATGAAGTTCCCTTCTCGGCTGTGACTGGGGTCCTAACCCTTTACCAAGCCACTGTCTACGATGCTTAACAGTTTGATAAAAGATCCATTTTTCGTCGCCAGTCACAAGTCTATCCAAAAAAGGTGAAACAAGTTGGCGAGAATAGAGAGAAGAGCAGATGTCAACTCGGGATTTGAGGTTGTTTTCAGACAATTCATGAGGCACCCATTTTCCAAGTTTAGGAACTTTTCCAAGTTATTGAAGATGACAATGAACAGTTGTATGGTTTGAACTTAGAACCACTGCCAATTCCTCAACTGATAAAACAGGATTTTCTTCAAGGGCTGCTTCAAGAAGCTTTTCATCAAACTCAACTGGACGTCCAGTTCGATCTTCATCTTCAAGGGTGAAATCTCCACCTCCAAATTTTGCAAACCATCTTCTGCAAATTCTTTCATTCACACACTCCTCTCCATAAACTGAGTGAATGTTTCTAGCCACTTCAGCTGCTGAGTTTCCTTTCTTGAACTCATAAAGCATTATGTGCTTCAAATGATTCTTGGGTACTTCCATGTTAGCAGGGTTTTAATCAAACAAAATTTAATTTTATTGTTCTCTGAAATAAAATTTGATCAGTTTAAATGCATCTAAACATAAAAATAACATCATTAGACATCATAAAATACTCTTTAAATTTCGTTCATTTTAACAAAAAGTTAAAATTCGGACAGAACTTATGGGATGACCTGATAATTCAATTCTTTGAGCATCAGTTCAAGATGAAGATTAGAACTGATAGAAAGTGATTGGTCTTGAAGGATTTCAACAAAAGGTGGGTGGCTGAGGCAAGCCTGGTTCACGTGAATGGGGCTAGCCTTGATTTTCTTTTTTTTTAGTTCTCCCTGTCACATTGGGGCAGTTTCCTTGAAGAGCTCTCCCCTGGTTAGGATATACCCTACTTGTGTACCTAGTTAATGTGAGTAAATGTTTCCCAGTTTGTTTCTCGCTCCTTCATTGGTTGATCCAAGTCAAGATTCCCAACCTCCCCAGTTTATTTTTGGGTCCCCTTTTCATCGACTGGGTTAGAATTTTTCTTTCCCCATGGCCATATTTATTTTTTCCTTCCCTCTCCCTTAGTGAGAGAACCTCTTGATTTTGTCTAAAGACAGAATACAGTGGCCTTTCACTTCTTTTTGAGGGTTTAACAGGTCCAACTAATATCAGTTATCTTTATTTTGTGCATTTGTTTTGATACTTTAGTTTTTTTTTTTGGGGGGGTCATCCCATCTCCCCTCATAGCTTATCATTTATAAATTTTTATATATAGAATATTATATTCATTAAATTTTTTGTGTTATGAGGTGATTTTTGTAGGCTCCCTGAGTGTATGCTGTATTATGGTATATAGAGGATTGAATGATGATGGATGAGTTCTTGTGAGTGACTGGGTCGTGAATCTGATTACCTACGTATAAGATAGTAAGTGATGACCAGCCTCAGCTCCCCCCCCCCACCACCACCACCATTTTAGGGCCTTGTGCCAAAATTGTATTTTTTATATGCAATAAATCTGGAGTGCTCTCATACAGACAGGACAAACACAAAAAACATGAAAAAAAATTTAAAAAAAAATAACATTGTGGATAATTTCTTGCATTTGCTTTTGTAATAAATAAGCCAAGGAGATTAAAACCAGAGACAAGTTTTTAAAAATTGTTTAATGACTGAAAGGTACGGCAAGGTGAAAAATGATGTAACCCTAAAAACAGAGGCATAAAACCTAAATAAGAACAAGGACTACTTCATAATGAATAAGTATAGATAGCGGATTCAATATTACACTATGTTCCCCAAAATTCAAAAGAAAGTCTTATAGTCAGCTGCATACCACCGACTTAACAGATTCCTGGTAGATATAGTCAGCCCACTAACTTTGTTGAATCAATTTGAGGTGTTCCTATCAATAGTAATCAGATAGTAAGTTTGGATGTAGTGAACATATTCACCAAGTTTCCTAGAGATAAAGTTTCTGTTAGTGATTCAAAATAGATTGGAATTTCACCCCACTCGTAACAAATATACTAGCATCCCAATGTAAAATTATGATAACATGATGATAATATTGACATTCTGTGTACAAACAACATTCTTCCAACTAGAGCCTGACATACCAGCAAGAGGAAATCTTGGTTATGGATTCACTATATCATCAGTAATGACAAATATATACATGTAAATGGCATTTGAAACAATACCACTAAAGCTAATTGTATGATGAAAGACATGTAGATGAGTCTTCTATACTCTGTCTTCACTAGGAAATTGTACAAATACTGCTAGACTATGTTATTGTTAACTCAGTAAGACTTTCAATCCAGTTCACAAAGGAATCGGAAATCAAAAATCAGCTGACTTTCCAAGCTGTACTAATAATAACTTTCACAGTGAATAGGTTCAAGATATACCACAAAACAACTTTCATTGGACAATACCTAAACTTCAATTCCCTCTATCCATACAGCATAAAGAAAAGGATCATCTGATGCCTACAATATCGTGCAAAAATCACATGGAAACACATACCAACAGGAGGTAGTCAGCATTTAAAAATATTCAGAATAACAACTACTCTGCAAACAGTATTGGTTTCTTCTTTTTCGTGTTGCATGGAACATTAACATTCTATCTCTACAGGCAGAGATATTAGAACATCACTAAAAACTGTACATTCCGTCCCTTGCAGTTGTGAGAAAGAATACAAAAAAGGAAAATTGGTCCAGGCGACGAAAAGAAAGTCGATCTAATAATTATAGTTTTTTTTTTTTTTTTTTTTTTGTTCCTTTTACTGCTGTAGATTTACCAGGGACTTTTCATATTAAGTTGTGCTAGAGACACATATTTATTAAAAAAATAACTTCTGTGAACAGTAGAAATTGTACAGCTCATAAAAAAAACAAAAATATTCGAACGAAAAATTACATAGGATCATAAAGAGTAAAAATTAAAATGTAAAGAATGTATGAAGTAAACTATGAAATCCAGTTTCCTCTTAAAATATAAACAAATTATATTTTTCTGAAGTCAAATTTTATAAAAAAGAGGCACGTAAGTTTTTAAATGCGCGTGTAAACTAATTTGCTTCACGAAAGTTCAACATAAACGATAAAAAAGCAGAATGTTAAAATTTAAAAATATAATGTTCCATAGAACATGACAAAGAAGAAACCAACACCATTAATGTTGATTGCACAAACAAAATAACAAATTAAATACATCAAGGTTTTTTTTTTTAAAATAAGCATTAAATTAACACTCAGTAACAGTAACACTCTGAGTGTTTCAGTTCATCAGAGTGAATAATTTTCATCGATATTGTTCCAGTCAGATAATTGTATAATTATAATTAATTTAAAAAAAAAAAGATTAGACTTCTTGAAGTTGTTGACAGTGATAAATTAAGAAATCAATCAAAAAAAAGTTGCCCATAATAAGTGAAAATAAGATTTAAAAAATACAAAACACGTGTTTACTCACCGTGGCTGCCATTTTCCAAGGATAAGCAAGGGAGATAACTTCATTTTAGAGAACAAAATAGAAGAACAGAAAAATAGAAGAATAAAATCTCACAGAACGCTGTTAAACAATTTATCATACATTGATTGAATTGTGAATTAAAATTTTGTTGTTTGACCTCAAGTAATAAAAAAAAATAGAAAATGCAAAAAAAAAAAAAAAAGTAAATTTTTCCTTTAAGAACCAGATGACAAAAAAAAAAAATGTTTAATACTGAAAAACAGTAGCTAGATGATGTTTGTCTTTTAAAAGTCATGATATTTTTTTTTACATCTGTTCCCTGTGGTTAAAAAAATGATCTCATTGGCGTCTGTACTAAAAAGTCTCGTGTGAAAGCTATATATTGTTTATTTTAATCTGGCAAAAGAAATTAACGCGGAATCACGGCGTTCATAGGACGGGAGTTGAAAAAGAAAGATGGAGTGTACGAAAGACGGCGAGAGAAGAGGAATTTAGTCTACAAAAAAGCTAAAAATATTTACGGAGAGAAAAGAAAGAGGAATTTAATTTACAAACAGAAAAACAATACGACAAATACAACATCTACGTTTTGTCACTCAGAATTAACGTCTACTAAGGAATTTTAAGACAGTCTTTCGAATTTAAACTACAAGTTATTTCAGCATATACATATAAAGCACCGTGACGGTATGGAGGGGAATCGAAAAGTAACTGTCGATATGGTGAAAACATTTAGTGGCGAAGGTGATTTGATGGCCTGGTTGGCGAAAATGAAATTGGTAGCGAGACTGCAAAAAATCCACGACATCGCAAGTTTTATGTCTCTGTTTTTAGAAGGAGACGCCCTGGCCTTATATCTCCAATTGACCGATGAAGATCAACGGGATGCAAAGAAAATAGAGGCTTTACGGACAGAGTTTTTTCTGCATATGCAAAGCTAGTGAAGACGCGATGGAGCAGCGAAGCCGTTGATGTGTATGCAACGAAAATACAACGACTGGCGGAATTAGCAGGGTTTGAAGGAAGTGGACAAGAGCAGATCGTGAAGCTCACGTTTGTCAATGGGTTCCCGGAAAGTATTTCGGTGCCACTACAGCAGTTGCCAAATGTGGAGAAACTAGAACTGAGTGAAATAATTTCAAGTGCCAGAGTGCTTACAGCCACTGGGAGACCAGAAGTAGTAGCGGTCGCAGAACGAGAACCTAAACAGCGTGATGGAAGACCAAGAATGATCAAACCGTTTAGTGGCAAATGTTATAACTGCAAGGGTCCTCACTTGTTGAAAGACTGTAGGGAACCAATCAAGGTGACCTGCTATGGATGCGGCAAGCAGGGACATTATGTAAAACACTGCCCACAGGGAAAAGATCAGGGGGCAACCGGTGCGCCGGCGGTTACCCCTTCAAATCAGCAATGGCGCAAACCAGAACACTACCAACAATAGAAGCACAAATAGAAGGCATGAGAGCTAAGGCCTTAATTGATACTGGCAGCACCGCAACATTAATCCGGTCGGGTCTTTCGACTGATTGTAGGAGTACAAGTACTGTAAGAGCAGTGGATGGACGGGAGGTTGTGTGCAGAGGGATCAGTACAGTGACGTTGGAGGTATGTGGACGGTTACTGAGAATCGAGGCAATTGTGATGGACAAGATCATTGATGGTGTTGATGTCATTGTGGGCATGGATGTTATCCGCCAGCTTGGAGGGGTAACCGTCTACGGAAATGGTAACGTGGAGTTCAGAGGAGGAGATTGTGCTATGAACATACAACCAAACAGCAAGAGTAGCAAAAAAATGCAATGCGAAGTGTTAGATAAGGACTTTGGTGCAAAATTTGATGGAAAGAAGTGGACCGTGGAATGGAAATGGATTTCAGAACCCCCAATATTAAAAAACAACGTTAGTCACTATCATGCTAAATTGAGTAAGGAAAAGAAGGTCGAGTTCGACAGTGAAGTTAAACGGTGGATTGAGGAAGGGATCTTAACCCCGTGAGACCAGGATGTTCAGACGGGAGTGCTACCCTTAATGGCGGTGGAACAACCCACAAAAACAAGATCAGGCCAGTTCTCGATTACCGAGAACTAAATAAATATATTATGTGTCATTTTGGTGGGGATGCAATTGACGTTTGTGGAGAAACAATGAGGAAGTGGCGGCAAATGACAACGGCATCAAAAATTGTTGATCTAAGGTCTGCATATTTGCAAATCCATGTCGCGAGACATCTGTGAAAGTACCAGTTAGTTCGATACGAGGGACAGACCTATTGTTTAACGAGGTTGGGTTTCGGACTAAATGTAGCCCCGAAAATTATGTCAAAAATCCTAAAAAATGTGCTAAAAAAAGAGGAACACATCGGAAAAAACACAGATTCGTATATTGATGATATACTAGTGGATGAAACAGTGGCACCAGCGGCAGACCTTGTAAATCATCTTAACAACTTTGGCTTAACAGCAAAGCCACCAGAATCATTAGAAGGAGGAGCAGCGTTGGGTCTTCGGCTTCATACGGATAAAGCAGGAGATCTGGTATTTGCGAGAGGGAGGTGCATGAGGAAATGAGCAGACGTGAACTGTTCTCTGCCTGCGGAAAAATGGTGGACCACTACCCAATAGCTGGATGGCTTAGAATCGCCTGCAGTTATTTGAAGAGAAGAGCAGGAGAAATCGATTGGGAAGACATAGTGGATAGTGAAACAACCGGTATGGTACAGGAAGTTGTGGAAGAAGTTCGACACCACGATCCAGTTCGAGGGAGATGGCATGTTCCCAAAATGGAAAAGGGTGTTGTATGGTGCGACGCAAGCAGTATGGCCACTGGTGTATGTATTGAGATCGATGGTGCGATAGTCGAAGATGCGGCGTGGCTAAGAAAGAAACGTGACTACAACCATATCAACGTTGCTGAGTTGGATGCTACGATAAAGGGTGTAAACCTCGCATTGAAATGGGGTCTAAAAGAGATTGAAATTCGAACTGATTCGGTTACTGTCCGCAGTTGGATCAGTCTTACGATAACAGACGAAAAAAGGATCCGTACAAAAGGAGCGGCAGAGCTAATTATCATGCGACGTTTGGGGATTCTGAGGGAAATGATTGATGAATTTAATTTAAAATTGAGTGTAACGTTCGTGCCCTCTGACAGAAATAAGGCTGATGCTCTAACCAGAGTGAAAAAGAGTTGGCTGGAAGTAGAGAAAGCTATTACAGCGACGTGCCGTGCAGGCCGAGATGGAGTTGCACGGACTGCATCATGTAGAAGTGGATAGAACACTATATCTAGTACGGAAAGTCTACCCGGAGGTGTCAAGAGATACTGTACAGAAGGTGGTTAGAAGCTGCGACCGTTGTCAATCAATCGATCCGTCGCCAAATGTTCACGAATTAGGAGAAATCCAAGTAGACACCAATTGGACCAGATTATCTATCGATGTGACGCATTATAGAGGTGAAATGTATTTGACTATAGTTGATTGTGGCCCTGGCCGGTTCGCCATTTGGAGGGAGATTCGAGCAGCAACGGCAGACATCATTGCGAAGGAGCTGGAGGAATTTTTTTTTTTCGAGCGTGGACCAGTTGAAGAGGTACTCATGGACAATGGGGCAGCGTTCCGTTCGGAAGTTTTTCGGTCAATGTTGGATAAGTGGAACACTAGGCAATATTATAGAGCAGCGTACAGGCCTAGTGGAAATGGTATCGTAGAACGAAACCACCGAACTATAAAAGTCATTGCCGAGAGAGGAGGGATATCGCCTGCAGAAGCAGTATTTTGGTATAATATGTCGCCTAAATCTGGCCAACGTGAAGACACTGTGCCGCACAGAGCAGTTTACACATACCAATGGAGACATCCTAGAGTTGCACCATGTTTAACACGCTCTGACGGCCCTGAATCTATACGGATTGGAGAGGAGGTTTGGGTCAAGCCAACTGGAGCCCGCTGCACGACAAAATGGACAAGAGGAATGGTTACCGGAGCACAGTCGCGCAACAATGTTGAGGTGGACAGTATGCCAAGGCATATTCTTGACCTAAGAGAGATTCAAGAGGATTTAGAGAATGAAGGAGAAAATTGGAGAAGTTCTCATGAGGCTTGGGCCCAAATACTGCGGAAATCGCAAAGAGAGCGACACCCGCCCAGATGGAAGGATGATTATATAACGTGAGATGTGATCATGAGATCAGGGTTTATTTTCATACTGGGCGTGGTTTTAAAAAAATGATCTCATTGGCGTCTGTACGTAAAATGTCTTGAAAGCTATATATTGTTTATTTTAAGCTGGCAAAAAAATTGATCGTTCATAGGACGGAGCGTCAAGAAAGATGGAGTGTACGAAAGACGGTGAGAGAAGAGGAATTTAGTTTACAAAAAAGCTAAAAATATGGAGTGTACGAAAGACGGAGAGAGAAGAGGAATTTAATTTACAAACAGCAAAACAATACGTGAAATACAACATCTACGTTTTGTCACTCAGAATTAACGTCTGCTAAGAAATTTTAAGACAGTCTTTTCGAATTTAAACCAGATCCCCACCCTCATTTAATTTTATGAAAACTTGAAAATCCCAACTCTATAACTCGCTGTATTTTTTTTTTTTTTAATTAAATGCAAAAAACTTTGAAAAATGTGCGAATACCGGAACACGGATACACGCACAAAAGCAGATAAACCATAGTGAACATTTTGTAGATCCAACAGACCAAAATATCCACACGCAAACGAAAGAATGTGGAGGACGACTGAGGGTATAAATAAAAGATCGGGACACAGAACTGCTTATTTAAAACAATATATTGCTCGTTTTCTGTTTTTAAAAGCAATCCCTAAAGTCAGCGCCTTCACGTTTTCCTGAGAGAGGCGAGCAGATTGTACCCAGGACCCTAATGAAACTACTTCATTATAGACATCTATAATTTTCATGTATATTTGGAAGTGAAGTGTCTCCTTTATAGCATTTTTCTAAAATTGCCAATGCCATTTTTTCCAAAGATATGAAACTTTTAACTTCCTCTTCTTTTACAATTGAATTAATTATTGTTTTATTTTCAATTTCAAATATTAAAAAAATACTTTACTGTACTACTTACTTTGTTATTCTTTTAATTGTCGATATTTTCATATATTTGAAAGTTAACTTTAAAAATTAAGTAAAACTGCACTTCACTTATTTTCATACATTAGAAAGTTAACTTTCTTCTTAGAAAAGAATTACTTAGTTATTCTTTTATTTGTTGATGTTTACATATATTTGAAAGTTAACTTTATTAAGTACAAAAAATCACTTTACGGAAGCGCGTAGTGATTTCTGCAAGGAACTTCTGTAAGGGAAGTAAATAGGCCCAAATTTTATGACTAAGCCAAAAATCTTTCCGCAGTGAATTACTTCTCAATAAGCCGGTAATGGCTGACGAAAGACCGAGAAGTCCGATTTTTTTCTGGTCGTTAACATCCAAAAAGGTAGGTTTCTTCATGATCTCATTGTTGATTTGAGTTCAGCATGTACATTTGCACGGAAATAAGACTATTTTGGTAAAATTTGAAGGGATATTAGCGCTCGGGAAACAAAATGAAAATTTACCAATTTACATTCTACCTAAGCTTTTTAGCTCTGAATTGTAAAATACAAAACCCAATAAAACTAAGACATTTTAATGGCTTTTCTGAATAATATAAATGAACGACATTTTTCTGAAGCCAAAGTATTTTTTTCGATGAAAAATGAATTTTTACAAGAATTGTTTTCTTTTTTAATTTTAAATGCAAAATGTGATAAAGTTGATAAATATTTTAAAATTAAATTTAAAGCTCTAACTCTCGGGAAATGTTCTTATTAAAAGATCTATTTTTTACAGATCTTAAATTTGAAAGCTTATTACAATCTGTGAGTTTTTTTTGGTCGACGACAGAAGTCTAGTGGGCTCGCCAGAAGGACTGGTGAAGGGATGCAGCTTTTTGGATTGGTCTTGAATAGTGGACCGACGTTCGTTTTTGACAGCCCCTTTTAGTAATAGTTCTTTGGTGAAAGAGGTGTTGGAGCTTCCTAATGTCGACCTCACAGACGGTGGGAAGAAATTTCACTGTCGAAATAGGCAAGATTATCCAAATTTATGGAGTTTTGGGAGGCTCCGATGAATCAGGGACTTCCTCACTCTAACCTCTTTTTATTTCAAAACCGGCTCCCAAAGCCTTGATTCTTATCAGAGATAAGAATATATTTTCTGACTGAGGAGAGAGCTGGAAAATAAACAGGAATTCCACCACCATTATTCGTTCCATGGTGCCATAATGTCTGGCGGAAACCTCACAGCTTCTTCACTTCAACTTGTCTTCAGTACCTTCGAAACTGGCTCCCAGGGTCCTGATTCTTATCAAAGATAAGAATATGTTTTTCTGACCAATGAAGGGGCCAGGAAATTTGTTCAACAATTTTGGAGGAAAAGTCCCCAATTCTGATACCAAAAAAAAAAAAAAAAAATCTTTGCCTCATTTGCAGGCTTTCTTCATCTGCGAACAAATTTCCAACTTTACAAGAACTGTGAGTGTTTCTATCAGAACTTTAACTATAATCGCAAAAGAACTACCTACTAAAGGGCTGTCAAAGAAATATTTTTGAGCAAGCAATTCAAGAAGTTAAAGAACATTTTCTCTTTTCCCTTTCTTTCTCTACTAATCGTCCTTTATCCCTTTACCTTTTTTTTTTTTTTTTTTATATGTTGTAAATAAACACTTTTTTTTTGTTGTTATTCACCGAGCAGGAGTTTTTTCTTTAACAAAATTCGCGCCTAAAAGAGACTTTTTAGGCTCTAATCTTGCAGTTTTACTTGCCTTTTTTCTGTTAAAAAATTTAAACCTCGACATTTTCTTTTTTTCTTTCAACCCTTTGATGCGGGAAAGCCGGGACAAATTTTTAGCAATTGGTGAATTGTCAGTGGTGTTTCTTCTTTTTTTTGTTACCCAGGCGGGATTTTTTTTGCCGCCGTCCCCTCCACAGAAGGAATGACAATGCACATTAACCCCTTAAAGTTTTTTTACTCACATTTTGTCTTTTTTTTTCCTCATAAATTTTCGATACCTATATTTTCAAATGAATTTTAAAAAAAAAAGTTTTTCTTGAAGATTTCATTTTATCTTTATAGATAGAAAGCTAAATGAAAGTTAAATTGTGGTGTTGAAATTTCTTGATGTAAAATATTGGGGCCTTAAAATTTAATTTTAAGAAATTAAATTAAATTAATCTGATTTGAAATAAATATTAAATAGCATAAAAAAATTAATATACAACTTTTTGTATTGTTTGACCCTTTTTATCTGAACGATGATTGATGGACGATTGATAAAACGAATCGATGACAGCTAGTATTTCACCAGTAGAATTGACATAAAATTTACGATTTCTTTGTCTGAACGCATCTATTTTTTGGTTTTTAACTATCTACAAAACAATCAAATTAATGAATATTGGATTGCAATTATCTAATAATTTATTGACTTTTATTTACCTTGAATGAAGATATTTTATGCAAAAAAAAAAAATTTAAAATATATCAAATTTTCTTAAATTAATTTCTCTGTTCAGAGACAAAACTCTTAGATTTCATGATTTATTTAAACAATAATTTTTTTTTTAGCCTTTCATAGATGAAAAAAAGGAACAAATTAAAAAAAAAAAAAAAAGTTCTTTTTTAAAACAGAATAGTATAACTATGTTTATTAATCTTTTCAATTCTGGATTCGTAAATTTCGTTTCCACTTAATTACTATATCACATCCAGGAAATAGCCCAACACAAAATTTTACACGATTTTAAACTATTATAAAATTATTATAATTAAAATTTGTAAAAAACGTGAAAAATTTTTGTAAAAATTCATTATTCATCGGAAAAATTTTATTTCTTCGGACAATAGTGTCAAATGTCATTATATATAATTTATTTACAAAAAGCAATTAAAAGATTCTTTTCATGTTTATTAATGTCAGTTTTATTTCCTTTTCATTATTTTTCAATTCAGAACAAGTTTTTCAACAAAGAATGAGAACCAATTTTTGAAAAAAAATCTTTAGGTGAACTTCATTCTTTATGTAAACTCCTGGTTTTATTTGGAATGATAAAAAAAAATTTTTGCAGAATTCTTTTTTGCGAAATTTCTTGGAATCCTTTATTGTTTTTGGAATTACCAGAGGAGAAAAATATTTGTGGCAAACATTTTGAAAAAAATTCAAAAATAATTTCATTCATTTCTGAATAAGTTCTGAAAATTTCATTAAAATTATTTGATTTTTAGAAAGAATTTCCAATCCAATGTGTTTTCAACGCAAAAACTGAAAAAAAGTCAATGTAATTATTAGCTCTGTGTCATGTAAACAAAAAAAGATTTTAACCAAAATTTCAAACGCAGGTTATGAAAGGATTAAAAATTTCATCAAAAAAAATACTTTGGTCTTTCATCTTAATAATAACAAATATTTTGACGCTAAAAATTTATTTTTATTAAGTTTGTGGCTTTTCTCATTACACTGCTGTTTTCCGCGAATAAGTAAAAGGGTACCTTAATTAGTCAACGACGAGATTATTCCATCAATTTTTAATATTTTTATCTATTTCTCAGAATCAAATGCCTATGGCATATAATGTCAGGTTTTTATATCTTAACAAGCACACAAAAAGGAATATATATTTATTATGTATTTGATACATAATTGTGGCACAAGGCCGAAGTGGGAAAGTGGGTTAAGGCTAGCCATCAGTAACTATCCTAAACCTGGTTAACCGGATTCATAACCCATTCATTCAATACAATACGCAGTCACCACAAGAATTTATCCATCGCCATTCACTCTTACAATTACCACAATATCTCATATTCACAGGGAACCTACAAAACACCTAATGACATAAAAATTTGGAAATGTTCAAACCAAAGTCTCTGTTTATCTTTTTCATTTTTTTTTTTCAAAAATATATAAAATTATTCATGAAATATTGGCTTGAGGAAAAAAGACAAACTAAAATACAACAAATATTCAAAATTAAACAAAAGGTTTTTTGGCTTAGGACCCGAAACATGAGAAAAATAATAAAGTGGGAACTGTATTTTTTTATAGATATAATCAAACAGCACATTCACTAATGGTGTGGTGTGTGGGTAAATAAAAAGCGGACTG